TCACATCCTAGCTTCATGGGTCATGTTTGATGATTGTGCATGGTCAAATATAGGTCTGATCAGTTCTTGTTTGGAATTAAAATTTTCTTTCAGTTCTCATCCGTCAAGATTTAATCCATTTATGAGGATTGTAATGTCGCCACCACTGTGTTTGAAACACTACTTCACATTGTAAGATTTTGTTTCTAACATTCCACACCTTTTTATGTACACAATATGCATGTAGTTAAGGCTTTAGCATTAACTCTTCGAGTCCTCGTATGACCTACCTCGAACTTCCACAGTATTACAGCATTTGACAAGGATTGGACAGCATAGTTAATACTCTCTAAGATGGTCATATATATATATATATATATATATATATATAGTCCGCGATTAGATTAATAAAGCTAGCCGAGAGCAAAAAAAAAAAAAAAAAGTTGCAATCAGCTTAAAAAGTCATTAGATTTATAAAAATTAGTATTAATCACAGAGTCAGTTATAAAATTCATTTTATTGAAGAACATTAACGAAAAAAAAAGATTTTAAATACAAAGTTAGTTTAAAAGTTAAAATTAAAATGACTTTAAATTTTCAAAATCTATCATATAAAAATTTAAGTGATATAACAACTGCAATAACAGAGTTAGACTCTGCAATCTAATTGATTTGGAGAGCTGAGGTGGAAACATTATTAATTTTTAAAGTTTTCTAAACAGCTAGCACCTCTATTTTTTTTTTATGATTTTTCACATACATTGAGAAATTCATTAAATGTTATGTTATATGGTTCTTTTTTTCACAATTTTTCATTTCAATTGTAAATGTTTTCTGGGATAGATTTAAATTGGAGATATTAAAAGAAAATACATACTAAAAAAGAACGAGACAATCTTTTTTTAAGACAAAAAGAAATAAATAAATAAATAAAGCAAAACAATTCTTTTGAGAGGGAGATATTAGTATAGATCACACAACATATAAACTCCAAAGCCAACAATTTAGCCACTTGTCCTTCTAGTTTAATTAATTAATGAATATCTTCTGAACGATGTTGATGCCAGAACTAAATCCATAAACATTGAACATCTATAACCTATATATTCGAAAAAATTTCAACGACCACCAATGAAACTGGTTAATTATATAAAAATTATTAGGATTGACTTTTTCTCAGCAGAGTTTGTTTTGGTTCATAATATTTCTCAAAAAAAAAAAAAAAAAAAAAGGTTAATTGCTATAAGTTGGCTGATGCAGTGATGCAGCAGAATGAGTATGACCACAGAAGTAGTTTTTTGAATTTTCAGAATATTTCGGATTAAAAAATTCAAACTAATATGCACAAGATAGGTGCACAAAAGTAGTTTGATTGCTAAAACACAGTCTGCCGAATATGATGGGCGCTTAAAACATACGTTTAGCTTATGATCCCCGATCCCTAAAATGAAGCTTTCCATCTACTTCTGATATGACTTTTTTCGACCAATGCCAAGTGCAGAGAATTCAGCGTACCATGAACACATGACTAATTATTCCGCTAACAGAGTGAGGTTGATCCTAGGCTACTACCACAAATCATGGAAAGAGAATCTTAAAAATTTAGAGCTCCATGTCGGCGATTAATAAACAACTCAATTGATAATGTGCAATATGTATATATAGACAAAGGTTATGAGCAAGTCAACAGTAAAGAAAATGGATACCCCTTTCCTCGGGCCCCTAATTAATAATAGTAATTAAATTATAACCCTTTTTTTTATTATTCAGTGGAAGTTCAATGGTTTTTTTTTTTTACTACATAATAAAGATTAGCTCTTTATTACATAATTATTAAAAAAATTTGAAGTCCCTAAAATTCAAACTTTGTTTCACCAGCCAGATAAGCTAACTAAGTATATAACCGCTAATTAAATTAAATCTACTTGTGTAATTTTTCAACTATATTGAGCACTTCATATGGTTTTTTTCAAATTGTTGTCTCACAAATATATTAAATTAGGTCTTGAAATTCAAAAGAATATTGCAATAATTTTTTTCATGAATACTCTGATCGATTTTAGTGTTAAAATCCGTATAAGATCTAGTAAAAAAAAACTTGATTTTAATATGGATAAACTATTCTGTAAATATCCGATAGCTGACACGTATGTAATAAGAAAACCTTGAGTTAAACCTTACAGTCTATCAAAATTAATTTGTCTCTACAATATCATAAATAATTAACTAGTTTTTTTATTAATGTTGACCACCTCTAATTTATTAGTTTTTTATTCAAAAAATACCTTCTTTTTGTAGTCAAATATTTTCTTTATTCTATTTTTCAAGAAAGAAAGAAAACAAATAAAATTAACAAAAGGACTAAATAGTTGCCCATATCCAATTCATTAGTTTTTTTATTAAAAAAAAAACCTTATTTTGTAGTCAAATCTTTCCTTTATTCTGTTTTTAAGAAAGAAAGAAAACAACATAAATTAAAAACGAACATAAAATTAATAAGAGGACTAAATTATAAATAAATATAAAAATACAAATATTAGGTACATAGTTTCTAAGACTACAAGGATTGAATAATTATTTCTGTTAGTTTACAAGGATCAAGTTATAAAACCTTCGAAGCTTTTGATGAGGGATAACGGGCCCGTTACTGTCAAAGGCTGTGAGTACGGTGGGTGGGGACTAATAAGCGGCCGCGGTGTCCGTACCAATTGTATTATACCGACTGAAATCCAATTATTAGAGATTGCTAATCTGCGGTTCACGTGATGGTTAATAAAGAAATTATTATGCTTCTGTCTATTAGCAACCTAAGCTAGAATTGAAAGTTCGAAGTCATTTTCTGGCAAGAGGGATGATTCTATGGGAATGAACCCACGAAAGGAACCGTGCATCCTCAAGCATGATGGATGAAGATTTTAATTTTATTTAGATGGGAAGCTAAGGATGGTTCTCTAGGCACTAGAGTTCAATTATTATGGAACTTTACCATCGCCATCTAACACTAATTATGGCTTTTAAATAATGAAGTTTTCACATCTTTTTGTCTTAGATTTTAGTGGACGATCATCCCGTTTGCTTTTAAAATTTTCACAGAGATTAATGGTAAAAATAATCTCTTTTCAAATCGTGGTAATTTTTTTTTTTTTTTGGCATTGTTTTTTGAGATTCCACACGGATAGTATTTAGTTTTATAAAAATGATTTCATTAATCTATGTATGTTACACATTTATAGGTGACAAGAATAGTGAAAAATACCTTAATAATATGAACAAAAGATCTGAAAAGAAGTCCCAACAACATTGAAGTTTTTTTGTTAATTTTCATTATTAGTATACGTACACTTTAGATAAATTATTCTGTAAGTAACATGTAGAAAATGCGAACGACTTTATCAGCGTTTTTAATGACATCAAATATATTATCTTTATTGCTATATTTTTCATTCGCCCAAACTATAAAACTAATAAAATAAGAAGAAAATATTCTAGAGAATTAAATATCAGAATAATGTTAAGTATTATTTAACTTTAGGCAATTAATTATATATTAAGTATTTTTTTTCCGTTAGTTGTAAAGAGACTTGTAGTCAAATTTCGTGAAGGATTTAAATAACAAAATACCAACTGGACTCCACCGGATTAAGATCAAGATAGTTTTATAGATCGTTATTTTTATTCTCGGAAGAAATTGGGTGAATTCGTCACCACTTGGCTTGTCATTTCTAAATCAAAGGTGTTGACCTATAAATTAATTGACATTTTAAATGGCTATGAAAACACTAGCATCTTGTTAACGAAATAAATTTGTCAATGTAAAATGATTACACGAAGAATTTTGAGGGTATGTATCCGAGGAATTGACAGGCTAGAAAATTAGAAAAACAAAAGGAGAAAATACGAGAAAAGTGAACAATATTTAAAATCTTGAATTTGCGATAAAATAAATTCCAAGCTTAGCTAAACCAATAACAACAGTAATATTTCTTGTACCACCGACTTCTCTGACCGTTGATCTTAAATACGTGTCGGCACAGAAGTGTCTTTCATAGGCAATTATAGATAGAAAGGTGAGACGGTGTCATTCCATTTTTAGTGGATTGCTTGGAGATTGAAAATGTGGAGTAAAATCAAAATCTTAATTACAGGATCGAAAGGGCAGAAAAAGTACTGAGCGGGTTTTCCGGTGCAAAGGACGAATAAGCAAAAGCTGATGCTCTGCCACGTGGGGCGACTAATGCCGTTGGATAAAGCATAAATGGCTGGGATTTAAAACATCTTAGATTTTAGGTACATTGAAACTGGAAGACAACTGTAGAGAAGTGCCCAGAGAGATAGATTTCCTTTCTTTTGTTCTTTTCTTTCTCATTCTTTTTATTTATTTACTGTCACTCTAAAAAAAAACAATACCAGCTGCTCCTACTACTACTACTACAGAGAAAGAACCAGAGAGTAATTGAAGAGAAGAGAGAGAGGAAAAGTAGGTTTGTCTTAAATGAGGTGAGTGTCGCAGAGTGGGGAGAGCAGCAGCAGCAGTGCAGTTACCATGGCGGCGTTGCAGGGCTCTAATTCCGTGTCATTATTGCTTAGTTAACACTGAAAGAGAATACAAGAAAGCTGGCCTGGCTGCCTGGTTCTATCCACAACCACAAGTCAAGAATAGCATAATCTACCCATCTTTTCTCCACATCTCTCAGTCTCTTATCTAGTTAACAAATTTGGTGTTGAAAGTTTTTTTTTTTAGCCATCCACAAAAAAGCTGCAAAAACCTTGGACTCAGAGAGTCGTCAGGATCAGATCAACAAGTCATATAATAATATATATATAACCAGCCAACAGAGAATTGACACTCAGATAATTGAAGTCTCTCTTAAAAACCCCACCAAAATTCAACTCTCAAAAGACCCATAAGCAAAGCCTGTGATCTTGCAGATTTCAAGAGTCACCACCTTCCCGATATTGAGTTTTTCTGCTATGGATTTTTTGTCTAAATTGAGGTTGGTATCAGCTTTTGGGTGCAAGAAATGGCAGGGTGGTTCTATCTAGGTGGGAGAGAAGGACCATCAAGCAAACAAGATCAAGAGAAAGAAGACAATAATAGTAGTTTGTTTTTGTACAGATCATCAAACGAGGAGATCTACAACAACAGCAACAACAAAGGGTTTGAGCTATGGCCGCAGTATTATCCCCAGCAGCAAAACATGAACAGCTTCTCGTTTGGAGTGGGTCCTAGTCGAAGAAGTTTGTCTGATGATCACTCCTCAAGATCAGGTTTTTCGGTGATGAGACAAGGAGGAGGAGGCTTAGGAGGAGGAATGAACTGCCAAGACTGTGGAAACCAAGCTAAAAAAGATTGTCCCCATATGAGATGTAGAACTTGTTGTAAGAGTCGAGGGTTTCAGTGCCAAACCCACGTTAAGAGCACTTGGGTCCCTGCTGCTAAAAGGAGAGAAAGGCAACAACAACTATCTGCTTTGCAACAACAAAATCAAGAACAGCAGCAGCAGCAACTACAGTTTCGAGGAGAGAATCCAAAAAGGCAGAGAGAGAATCAAGGTGGTGCTTCCTCTCTTGCTTGCACTCGTTTAGCCACTACCACGTCAGGTAAAGTTGTCCTAGTACTACTAGCTAGTAGGAACTCACAATACAAAGACCAACAAAAATCATTACAACTACAAATGTAATTTGATGGTGGGGTTCTTTTTGTACTCAAATCTTTTAAAGATTTATGAAAAGAATTTTCAAGAAACTAAACACGGTTTGAGAAAGTTAGATAGAGATCTAGAGATCTTGAAGGAATAATTCTTCTGAGACTACTTTCAGTTCTTGCTACCCAACAAGACAAGTATCATTTGCGTGTGTAAGCATGCCCACCTCCATAGTCAGCCACCCACCACATGCTTTTCTTTCTCTTTTCTCTTTTCTCTTTTCTTTTCATTCCTTCACTGTTTGTTAGTAAAACTGACGATTAAAAAAAAAAGTCACATAAAATTAGCTAAAATTTCTTTTCTTTCTGTTTCCTATTTTTTACTCAAATTATCCTTCGCTTTCATTCAAACTGATTCTCTTCAACTCTGAGATCAATTAGGGCTGGAATTGACAGCATTCCCACCAGAAGTGAATTCACAAGCCACATTTCGTTGCGTTAAAGTAAGCGCCATAGACGACGCAGATGATCAGTTAGCATATCAAACGGCTGTTAACATTGGAGGCCATGTTTTCAGAGGAATTCTCTACGATCAAGGTCCTTATAGCCGTTACACCAGTACAGGCGGTGAGAGCTCCTCCAGTGGAGCACAACAACTTCTTATAACGGCAGCAACAACTAGCGCCACCGGAACTACAACAAACACTGGCCATCCAGCTGCTGGTAATACTTTACTTGATCCATCTTCTCTATATCCAGCTCCTCTCAATGCTTTTATTGCTGGTACGCAATTCTTCCCACCACCAAGGTCCTAGCTGCATTCTTAACAAAACCTATCCATTTGTCAAAGAACTCCATAAATTGGTGATCTTATTGTTATTGTAGTTTTTTATTTTTATTTTTTAACATGCATGATGCACTCGAAACTGAAGTAGAGAGAGCATAGGGATTTTAGAAATTTAGAAATGGAACGTTGGCAGAAAGGAGAATGCGGATGTTTTTTTTGGATTTTGTTTCGAATTTCAATTCAGATTTCATGATATGGGTTTATTTAATTTGATCATATTGATGATGAATGACTTATATTACTTATTTCTTGTTTCTGTTTTCTATGTGGATTCGTGCAATGTACTTTTTTTAAAAAAATTTGCTGATCTCTCTTGTTGTTTGCTGATTACTTAAATGGTTGAATTGATTGCTTTCTGTCTGGTGTTGAACTCGATGCTGCTTTTTCCCGTTTATTGGTTTGCTTGCCGGATTTAAATGGGAAGAAAATAGGTTTCGTGTTCTGTTGAGCAAAGAATTTTAAACCCCTTTTTTTATGTACAAAATTCTTAAGAAGATAGAAACATAAAGGCATGGGCCGCTTTGGAAGCCTTTCGTTCATTAGCCAAATGACACAACGAAGAACTTCTCCAATCAATCACCACTCTTTCTTTCTCTCTCTCCACCCTCTAAGTCTTCTTCTCTTTTTGTTTTTTCTTTGAACTGGCTCGCCTCTCAGTCTGGTTACATGTGTAAATGGCAAGTTTTGATGGGCGTTTATATCAACTACTTGTCTGCAGAACAACAATATTTAGTGACTTGAATAGACGTGCATGGATGTGACCTAAATGGTAGGATGAAAAATGTTGCTTATGATGATCAGAAATGTTTAATGCTCTTGCATGTGATATGTGTTTTATGAAGACTATAACCAATGACATAGGCTGAGGTACGTATATACAAATAGGGATTCAAGATGCTTCCATAGATTGCTAGATTTGGTACATAGTAAAAGAAACGGAAAAGTTTAGAAATTTCCCTCGTTTTGTAAGATCTGACCTATGGCATGTGCTCTCTTATCCTTTATCGACATCAAGATTTACTGCTGTAAATAATATTTCTTTGTTCGATTATTTGTCCTTGTTCTCTAATTAATTATTCTCTTAAACTTGTATAGAATGGTGGAAATATATACATCAAATATAGGGTGAGGCATCGAATCTTCCCATATCATGAGATCTAAAATTTTCGTGAAAATTTTGTGGTGTTCTAGTCTGTCTAGGAAAGAGAAAATGCTTGCAATTTTTATTTTTTATTTTTTTCCGTAATTAAACAGAAATAGATATTGGTGGCTAAGAAGTTTCTTATAATGCATGACTTTTGAAATTATTATCTTCTATTCGTGCCTTAAATAATCTCTCCAAATTTTTCTAGACATTGGTGGAAATGTTTGCTACCTGGCGGAGTTACCTTAAATATTGGTAAAAGGGGTGGGGGCCGATTTGGGTAGGGATTTTAGATTCGTGACATGCAATGCTCTATTGTTCAAAACTAGAGGTGGATCTTTTGTCTTCTGAAAAGAAATTTAAAAAACTTGATCTGATAGATAGAAATTTATAATTATTTATATAGTATTAGAATGCAAAATTTCTACAGCTTTGTCTCATTTTTGACAATGTAAAAGTACATGAGTCTCAATATATACACACACACATGGTTTGATTTAATTACCTAGAGCACACAGAAAAACAGGGATATATAATTATGGATAATACAATAAGCTTAATTAATTAGACTTGCTTCTTCTTATTTGCAATTCAATTTATTAGATATGTATATACACACACATCATAACCTCATAGGGGAGACTGAATCTGAATGCATGGTGTTAGAAAAGCATTGCATATTTAATTCAAAATTTCATTTTAGCAGCAGGTAGATTATTTGCGACACATGAAATGTTATTCCACAAATCAAAAGACATGCACACCCAATTACACAAGTATATATATCGTAAGAATATTACTTAGTTTGTTTGCCTAAAAATATCATAAAATTGAATTGTAGATTATACGGTAAATTATAATTTAACTCATTAAAATCAGCATTTGAGCGTGAAAAATTAGTCTTTTGATCGAAGTCATTTAAAATAAGTTGTTGACTAAGTGACAAGTGAGTTGGTTTTTAGGCGAATTTTCTGACAATAAGCAGAGTTTGAATTTTGGAGTCGGGCTTATTAGAAAGGATTAAACTTTATCGTTTCTATCTCAAATATGATCAGTAATATCTTTAACGTGAGATGAGGATACGTGGGGAGTAATATCTTTAACGTGAGATGAGGATACGTGGGGAAAAAAAGTCGCCCGTGTGAATGAATAAGCTACTGTATTACATTTTGAAATTTATTTGTATAGCAAATATTTAAGTTGACGAATTAATCAAAGCATGCTGAAAATCCTCATGATTTCCAGCTAAGAACACTTGAATATACAACTGTGAGACTACAGACTACAGCAATTGCATGTGTTATGGTCAGTTGCATTATTTGACTTTATCTTCTCATCTCAAGAGTATTAATTGTTTCAGATGGTCTTAATCAGCTTCCAATTTACAAGCTCTATTTGTCATTAATTTCGTTTTGGACAAACCTAGTCAGATGCTTGCCAGATGGATGTGGATTCGAAAATCTGTATTTGGATTATTTGATGCATATCCATGAATTTGTTTCACGAAATGAAATTATTTGATTTTCTCCACAAAGTTATTACTATAATATATATTAGTCATTTCATTTTAATATTTTTTGGAACGGTTTGAAAGTTTATATACGTGTGTGTGTGTGTTGGGATTAATCACATCAACAGCTTACTTCTTTTTAATTTTTCACATGGTGGGGGCTGCATTTTACTTCCAAATCATGCGCCAAATAACCCTGCCTTGTATTTATTTTAGAGTGCTTGGGTCAAGAGATGTGAGTTAATATAGTATGTAAATAAAAATGGGAAGATATTACTCCTTACGTTCTAAAAAGATTGTTTTGCTTTTTATTTTCATTTTCTTGTCATAAAATGATAGTTTAGTCAAAATATTTATGCCATATATTTTACTAGAATATTTCTAATTAAAAATCATTTGTAGGGATCAATAATTAAAATGAGAGTACTTTTAGAAGTATGGATAAAAAATAATAACATGAAATATTAATTAATGATTCTTAATATGCATAAAAAGTCGAATATGATAAATTTTTTAGAACAAAGAGAGTATCGTGTACACAAATAGATAGTTGTGTATGGACATAAACACGTGTCATTCTGTATTTTATGTGTATATATATACACAGTTATATATGTATTTTTATAAAATCATGTTTAACTGAGTTCTTATTAATATAAAATTTTGAATATTCACATACACTATTTTCTAGTTCTATGATTTTATTAAAGAAAGTTGATTGATTCTTCGTTTCCATGGTGATCGCTTAATTTTGGACATTGCCGAACATGAGTTGGTTTAGATATCAAGTCAATTTAAACTTTTTAGACAAGGAAATATCGTGGAAGGTAGAAAGTAAAAGGTGAAACTAGAGGTTCTCTCCCTTTTTTTACTCCTCCTGCTTCTTCTTATGAAATAAAACGAGGGGAAACAAATTGCTTAAATATATATAATATATATTTTTTTAACTTCTGTTTGATAATTTAGATTATGGATATTTTAAAAGAAAAAATTTTCTATATAGGGAAAAACATGTAAAAGGGCAGTATAGTTGTCCATCAAAACGTGTTTTTCATTTCTTATATTTCATTTCCTGAGGTTGATCTATGTCCTCAAATCGTGTGTTTTATTTGATGATGCATATATATTTCTAGGTCCGTAGAAAATGATTATTGGATTCCTGTCATGTCCTCGTCAATATGAAATTGACTCACTGGCATCCGAAAGGTAGACGCATTCACAGAATCTGGGTACCTAATTCATGACTGAGGAGACATTAATTTGTATATATAGCCCCCACAAAATAAGAAAAGGCAGAATATCTTGTTCTTAAGTCTCACCACCTTTCTTTTTCAAGTATAATTTCATGTCACTTCTAACTTCTTCTTTTGCATAATAATTGACAGTAAAACAACAGTAATTTCTCTTTCTTTTCTTTTCCATAGACTTGACATGAATTGTAAGAATTAATTCTTTAATTCTCACCCGAGGGTGCATCTGTGCTTGATCGGTGGGTTAATGCGTAAAAGTTGTTAAAATTGCTACAAAAAATGTCAACTAGCCATTATGTTGATCGGTGGTGATGCCAGCACTGTCATTCCATTTGCCATCACCACCATTTCTGCAACTGCAGCGCTGCTAAATGGATCGATTTGATGATCCAGCCGTACGCTGGATATTTTAATTACTAACAGTTGATTCCTTTAATTAATGTGAATGGTTTGCTCAAAATTTCTCAAACTTATTGTCTTACCTCTCACCAAACAGAAACCTGGAATCTGCGTGTTACTTTACCGTACGTATAATATACCAAACACCAGTTTTTACTTGATCTCTAGCTTCAGACCCTAACATACACAAGCCAGTATAATTATTTATGACGCATGTGTCCCAATATAAATTAGATTAGGTATACAGTATAAGAGACTAAACGTTGACCTTATAATATTGACTGAAATTTCCAGTTATTTTGATAAAAATTTAATATCTTTATTCTCGTTGCAGTAAATAATTTTTTTCCCGCAAGGAATCGTGATGTCTTTTCATGTACTCGCCGGCCTATTTATTTGCTTTTGTTTTTGCTTCATAATTTCGTAGGATGTAGGTAATTGTTATCGTTGATTCGATAGATAGAAAAGAAGGAATATATAGTGGGTATTTTAGGTTGGGATATTGCTATACATTTATATATTTACAGGATCAATAAGTGTGCCATTGGTATAATACTACAAAATTGGTTCTGTATTGGTAGTAGAGATCTTAAACCCAAATAAGAAGATGCCTTTGGATTTGCATGAGAAAATATACTCAACAAGATAATGCGTAAAGCCTAGCT